ACAGTTTCTGCGATGGAAAATTCCAAACTGACGTTTCTTTTGCTGCTTAGTATATTTGATTGAAATGTTGTCAAATTTGATTTGTAACTCTACTTAATTTGACAGACAGACAGACAGATTTATTCAGTATAAGGCCTTTGGCCCAAAATACAGACAATATAGGGTTACAAAATATCCCTGCGCATAATACATATTTACATACATTCCATAGCATAAAATAGTACAAATGCATGATATGAATATATTATATATTACTTTGCCTTATTTGTTGTGCTTTAAATAAAAAGATTGAAGTGTTATGCAAAATATCATAATTATGAGAAGTGATTATAGAAATATAGTTATGTTGAGAGGTAGTATTGATGTATTTACCAATAAGTGTATTACGGAAAAAAACTGTAAGCTTCACAGATTAGATGTACATGATATTCATTCTCAATAAAATACTTTTGGGGGGATAAACAGAGAGGACAGAGTCTTTCTTCATATGGTATAGCTTGATGTCTTCCAGTGTTGACAGCTATTCTAAAGTTACTGCATCTGAAGCTTGATAAGATCCTTTTTGAGCGAGATGGAAGTGATGAGTTCAGATAGTATTCAACAGTCAGTAGGGATTTATATTGTTTATATGAATAAGAGTCGGATAGGTTATTAACATTGACACTCCAGGTTTGTTGTAGATTGTCAAATAGTCTCTGCTTAAACATTGATAAGAAAATATTTTTGTCTCCAACATCTTGGGAAATCCATGCATATCCAAATCCAAATCTGAATAAAATATTTTTAGTATTAGTAGCATAAGTGGTGCGTCCCATATCATCAAGGGCAGTGAGCAACCTGTAGCACTGGTGGAGGAGGCTCTCAGGGCCCATTTGTATCAGCCTTCACCAGTACTTGACAGCTCTTGTCATATATGTAAGCTGCAGTGGAGCTCTACCACACTCACCTAGCACCATTACATTACAGGTATTCTTTGACACTTTGAGAAAAGATTTGCACATTTTCACATGAACATCTTCAATTATTTTGCTGTAGTCAAATCCCCAAATTTCAGAGCCATAGCACAGGATAGGAGTAACAATACTGTCAAATATTTTGAACAAATCTTTACAAGGAATATCACAAAGTGTCCTCTGATATCTATTTATAGCCATCACAGCTTTAGAACTCTGGGAAGCTAGAGAAATTTGAGCCTTTGTCCAAATCAGTTTGGGTGTAAACATAATGCCTTAATATCTGTAGAAGGGTACAACGTCAATGTTTTCGCCATTGTAGGTCCACTTTTCATAACTTCTGAGGGGTCCTCCATTTCTAAAGACCATGAGTTTCGTTCTCTTCAAGTTCACTTTCATTCCAGTTTCTAAGCAAAATAAGTTCAGAACATATATTTTCTTTTGGAGTTGAATGGCTGAATAAGCTACAGATGACACATCATCTGCAAACATTATGGCAAAAACATTTTTAAAATCTTGTGAGATAAAAACACCTTCTCCTCCAACATCTTCCAGTTGTTTTAAAAGCTTGTTGATGAATACGATAAATAGCTGAGGGCTCAAAATACAGCCTTGACGGGTGTCAATATTACACTTGAAGTAATCTGTTAATCCTCTTGAACCCCTCACACAGGCACACAGGCTCGAATACATAGAGATAAGAAGGTTATACAATTTTCCCTTTATTCCAACATCCTTGAATGACTTGAATGCTAGGACTAAAACATTCCTTGACTACATACCGGAAGATAACATTGACTTCATACAGCAAGGCATTGATGACTACCCTACTGACAGCTTTGCAGCTCCCAGGAACAACAAGGATTCAGATACTTGTAATAATTTTGGTAAGAAGCTGATGGAACTGTGTAAATTATTCAGCATTCATATTTTGAATGGGAGATGTCATCAAGACAAGCAAGGTGAATATACATGTATCACACATAATGGGGCCAGCACGGTTGACTATATGATAGCCTCGCTAAGCTTATATCCATTTATCTCGGACTTGGGTATTGGTACACGAGATGACTCAAATCACTTTCCAGTCTTCTGTAGGTTTGATTTCAAACATCAAGGTTTAAATGATATACAAACCCTTGACAAGTGTGAGACAAGTGTCAATGAAGCAACTCCCTGGTCACGATATCTCTGGAAGGAGGAAAACAGTACGGTGTTTAAATCTAAGTTTAAAGAGTTATATTATCTATTAAAGGATGAAATTGATCACCTAATACCAACAGATGTGAACACTGCATTATGTTTACTTGTCGATATTTATCAAGAAGCAGCATCTATAAACAAGAGAGTCTACTTCACTAGTTCTAACCATAATTCCAAGTCTAAATTATACAGCCAACCTCCCTGGTGGGACAGTGAACTTGAATACCTAACGTATGAGAAATATCGTGCACTGAGGGGCCATAGATACCATAACTTGTACTTTAACATATTCAGGGAGCTACGTACTAAATTCAAGAAAGCATTTGTTATCAAGAGACAATCTTACCAGGACAAGCAGAAACAAAAACTAATTGATGCTAGAGGAAACCCTAAAATTTTCTAGAAATTGCGGAAACAGGGAAGACAATCACACATGCCAGATGGAATCAGTACCCAGGAATGGACGGATCACTTTTCATCTCTCCTCAAAACAGAAAATCCAACCTCTTTACCTCCTATTATAGACGAAGATGACAGTGGTACCAGAGCGGAATTAAATCAACCTATTAGCTGCCAAGAAGTTGAACAACATATAAAAAAGTAAGCAAATAATAAATCACCTGGACCTGATGGAGTTGTCACAGAATATTTTAAAAATACAGCAAGTACTATTTTACCCACAATTACAGCCATTTTCAATCAGATATTTGACAGTGGTGTATTTTCTCCTGCTAGGAACATAAGTATTATTTGCCCTGTTTTCAAATCTGGAGATAAGAATGATGTTAACAACTACAGGGGAATTTCATTAATTGATACCATGTGTAAAGTATTTACTTCTATATTAAATCTGAGACTCAAGACTTTCTGTGAAGACAATATGATTATTGATGAGCTACAAGCAGGTTTCAGATCAAATTACTCAACTATTGACAATATATATAGTCTGCAAGCAATGATACACAAATATACCGGAAAAAAGAAAGGGAGATTTTACTGCCTGTTTGTGGATTTTTCAAAGGCATTTGACACTATAAGACATGATATTCTATTGCAAAATTTTACTTAATTTGTGCATACATTATCTTCCCAAACGGAACCCGTGAAGATTCGGGTTAGAATTGGTCTCAAGCAACATATGCTTGTCGGAAGAGGCAACTAACGGGATCAGGTGATTTGTCCCGCTGATTCTGTTGACAAATTACTACATTTCTCGCTGACTTGTATGTCATCGTATCCCAGTTGCGAAGATCGATGGCTGTGGTATCATCATAGGATTGTCTCGCCCACTAGGGCTGCGCAATCTAACCGGTTTACCGGTAGTTACCGGTTCAGACATGAAAACGATACGTATTGCGATACGCTGATCGAAAACCGGTATTTTGACTTGCATTCGGAAAACCTCGCAACACTCGGAAATCTTCGGATATTTCCTTTTTTCATTTGTGCCAAATATTATTCACATTTTTATTTTTAATCATGAATAAAAGTTGTTATTAAAGCTTAATGAAGCATAGTGATTTTGCTGTGTATTTGCTATATAAATCAAGCATTACCTCGATTATAAGTAGTTTTTTGTGTAAAAATACTTCACGCAATATTTAAGAAATAAAGTTCGCTCTACCCTAATGTGTTTTGTAATAAAGTATAGTTTTGCCCTGAACTATTATAATTGAAGCACGAGGACGGTAGTCCGAGTGCTTTGATGTTATAATAGTTCAGGGCAAAACTATACTTTATTACAAAACACATTGGGGTCGAGCGAACTTTACATCTTTTTCTAAGATGCTAAATTTAATACTTTCTAAGGATAATTACGATTAATTTAAGGCAGAAAACAAATGACGGTGTCGGTGACCTAAATTAAGAATCCTCGCACAGGGCTAACTGGTGCGCTGTTCTATTGATGTGTCTCCCCCCCTACGTTAAGACGAACGTTACCAGAAAAAAACAAATGATAACAGTTTGATGACGGTTTACGTTCGGATTAGATATCTTCTCTGAATTATTTTAATTACATCTGTCATTTACGTAAACCATATGGGGCAATATCAACGTCGCATTTCTTCTACCAACGTAAGTTAGATCAGTACATCCAGATGAAGCGGAGTAGTCAAGCGACATTCCACGATTGCATTGTGGGAATGTAAACATTGCGAACGTTACCGTGTCGCTGAAAACTTGTGAGTCGAATTGACACATTTTAACCGTCGTAAAACATAAACGTAATGTTTCCACCAGTGATGTTAGCTGCGTGAAGCAACTGCAAACCAAGAAACGGGATGCAACGGAGTAGTTTACTGTAGGAGGCCGTACGAGGCGATGACAACTGACATGCATCGTGACGTCACTTACATTGTGACGTAATGTAAAATAATTCGATTACGAGGAGGCACACTAGAATGGCGCAGTGACGGGATAACGTCATTCAATTGTTACGTCATCACAAAACTATACCTTTATTGTCTCATAATGTATTTTTTTTTTTTTCGATTGTTCTAACAGCTAGGCATCTTAGAAATTGCAATACATATCGCAATACATGCTTTCGCATCTCAATATATCGCAATATGAAAATTCTCTGCAATACCCACCCCTATTGCCCACACTAGATTATTTCCAGACCGCCGTCATATAGCTGGAGAACTACCTTGTGTGGCATTAAACAGCAAGAAAACAGGACAATACAGAAGGCTACGTTTTAGTTTGAATATGACGAGGTTCTTTTCCTCCTTCCACCGTTAAATATCTTATTTATATTTACTTGTACACACGCTATTATGTACAGACCGCCGTCATATTGATTGACTATTGCTTAGTGCGACATTTTCCTTTCTCCTTCAGGGATGCAATAGTGACTTGCCTGGTAGATGCATTGAGCGGCGTATTCATTGGCTTCGCCTGTTTCGCCATCATTGGTCACATTGCCAATCTACAAGGACTGTCTGTGGAGGATTTCCAATCATCAGGTTCCACAGAATAAGCTCAAGTGTACTTTAATAAGCAGACATATTGTTTCCCACTAAACTCAGTATTCACAGGCCCTCGAATGAAAGCAATAGCAGACTGTATGAAGTCTATATGCAAATAAACCTACCCTAGCAAAATGTACCTTCAACAAAGCAAAACTTTATCCTCCAAAGCTAACTTTTGAGATGAAGATGCTTATTTGAATTCCTACGCAAGGATTTAAATTAGATGCGGTACAGATCTGAACAACACTTTTTGGGCAAGATAGACAAACATATAATTTTGCTGTTGAAATTAGCGAAATCGCATTTACAGTTAGTCTGATGTAAAGGGATAATGTACAAATGTTACGCTTTACGTCTAAAATGTTAATCAAATAGTCTAATGATTGTGTGTTACAGGATTCAACCTTGCATTCATCGTGTACCCTGATTTCTTGGCCTCGCTTCCCTTACCGCAGCTATGGTTGGTGTTGACGTTCGTTACGTTGATGGCACTCGCAATAGATACATTGGTAAAACATACTTCTTAAAATAGGACGAATGGGTAGCCTAGTATTAAAAGCGTTAGTTCGTCACGCAGAAGACCAGGGTTCGATTCCCAAAGGGGTACTATGCGTGAAGCCCATTTCTGTTGTTGCTGGAATATTGCTAAACGCACTCACTAACTCACTTCTTAAATAACTGCACATCTGTCGAGACGTTATAACAAGGAAATGATGCTATATTTGGTAAAGATTGATGCAAATTTACTACGGTACATAAATTAAAGTTCCTTTTCTCTCTCGCTACTGATTTTCAGATATAAATGCATGTAGTTTCCATCAGTATTTTAGTTTTTGAGCCGTTACTCTGTTTCTTGCTACTGGACAATACGAGATCATTTGCTATTTCCTACCAAGATATCTTTCCATGGTAAGCCATCTTTCTTACCATGTCGCCACTGTCTCAATAACACGTCATACACGAGCTGGTACAAGGACAGTAAAAAAGGGATTTGGGTATCAAGAGTTCCTGAACTGTTGAGAACACAGAAATATTGCCGGTCGTGTTTGAAAAAGGATGCTAATATGCACGTTATCAGATTGGGTATTTGCATCAATAACACTATTCTATATTAGATCAAGTTACATGAGCACCTTCTCATGGATACCAACTGTAAAACCAAAAAAAGCAAAACTGACGTTTTTTTAAAAAGAAATCCAGTTATTCACCGTGAACCAAAACGTACAAACCAGCCTGCAGACGAATTTTATTACCACCTGTTGCCCGTATTGCGTCGCGCTTGATTTGGTTGCTGGCGAACGATATATTCTTTCATGTAAAAAATGTTATCAATAGTGATGCATTTTGGAGGTTGCATACTAGTTTTAGATACAAAGCTGTTGTAATCTAATTGTGTGTTCTTTTGTTTGTTTGGTTTTTGTTGTTGTTGTTTTTGTTGTTTTTTTTGGTGTGTTTTTGGGGGGGTTTTGTTTTGTTTTGTTTTGTTGTTTTTTGGGGGGGTTGTCTTCTATTCACTGGTTGTTTGGGTCGAGTCAGTACATGACTTATGAAATACCGCTATGACTTTTTCATTTAACTTTCTCACTCATGTTGAATTTGCAGGTGCCAGGAATTGATATAATAGTGACAGCACTGGGAGACCAGTTCCCTCTACTGAGAAGACGACGTTGGTGTACAATCTCTGTTGTTCTTTCTACAGTGCTGCTGTTCGCCCTCTTATATATCTCTCAGGTACGTCTTGACGTTTGTTCATAAGTAGATCCCAGTTTAAATGGTGTTATTTCTACGCAATGTAAAGAGCCCACTTTTCAGCTTAAATATCCCTTTTACAATTGACATTAAACTTAAATTGCGAAAAAAGAACAAGAGTATTTTTGACTGACCTACGAAAAAGCATGGATAATGAACTGTTATGTGTTTACTGAACACCATGGACGAAATTTCCCGAACAGAAGCCATCCTCAATCGTCCTCATCTCACCTCGAGTCTCGAGGTGTCGTATCTCGAGTCGAATGACACATTGATGTCGATCTGATTAGAGATGGCGTAAATTCACACTGCTATTACTTTGTAGTGATGTGGGGCGACGAGGTAAGCTAATGGTTAAAGCGTCCACTGAAGACCCGGGTTGGATTCTCACATGGGTACAATGTGTTAAGCCCAATTTTGGTGCCCCCCACCGTGACATTGCTGGAATATTGCTAAAGGTGCCGCGTAATAACTCACTTCTGGTGATGTAACTCAATAAATGATTGCTGGAATACGTACCCTGGACAGTTGTATTTTCCTTTACTTCTAGGGAGGGATATACGTGTTGACACTGGTGGACTGGTTTGCTTACTTCCCTGCCTTAGCACTCTATGCCTTTCTGGAGTGCATCGTTCTGGGATGGTGTTATGGTAATAGCTAGTTCTCGGGATAAGATTATCTACAGACCGCCGTCATATAGGTGAAGAATTACATAGTAGGGCGTTAAACAACAAACAGACACAACACAGAATGATGCGTCATGTTTTGGAATGTCACGAGGTAGATTGTCGGGTTATTTACAGACCGACGTCATGTAGCTGGAAAAAAGTGTGCAACGTTAAACAGAAACTAAACAAACATAAAGAAGGACGTTGCGTTGCATTTCGGATGTTATAGGGTTCCTTTCTTTCGGGTCCGGCTTAGATTGTCTTAAACTCGATCATTTACGGACCACTGTTGTATGTCTAGGATAAACAAACAAACAAAGCAATACATATGTTTACAGGATCAAGTCCAAGGCAAATTACTAAACAGTGTATTGACTTTATTTCAGGCACAAAGAGGCTGGAGGAAGATGTCAGTATGCTGTGGGGGGAGAAGATACCTGGCTTCATGCATGTATGCATTCGGATCGTGTGCCCTGTTCTTATTCTGGTGAGATACTGATTTAGGTGGTTGTATTTCGGTGTACATTTATATCACATCATAATCAGAAAGTTTTGGTCGGTTACTTTAAAGCAATTTAGATTATTTAGAAAGTGCGAAGTTTTGTAAACATTTACTATGGAAGCTTATGCACACCTGAGCGTAATGGCGGGGATGACACGATTGTCAGGATCTTGCTTTGTCGGCAAGATGGCAGCCATGTTTGAGAGAGCTGAGATGTCAGAAGCGTGACCCTCAATGCCCGTTGTTCTAGGCACATGGTCCGGCTGTGCTGGCCTGCCCATTGAAGGCAATCGTCAGTGTGCAAAGTATGGAATCATGTATGGATGCGCACGTACAATCTCCAAAGCAGGATCCGGTAATGCCAGTCAAACGTCATGCAGCATCTGTGAAGGGTTTCGGGGTGACTTTAAGCGGGATGAAGGAAGATCATTTTGGGTGGTCGGATCATATTTTACATGGAAATGTTCATGAGAAACGTAAATGTATGTTGTTTTTTCTCTCTGAATGTACAGTGGTACCCATCTGAAATGTGATCCTTTTTAAAGAAACATCTTAATTTTTCAGCTTCGGTTTCAAACAGACGAATATTCATTTATCTGTAATTCAGTAAAATCCTGTCTTCATTTGGTTATTGATCAAATTCTCTGTCGCAAACTATCGTAAGTAAAATACCCTCGGTGTTACCCATTTGACTCGTGTGACAGTTACGGGAAACATGTTTTCGATTAAATGGTATTTATGACCATATATACCTTATACAAATGTCAATAGATTTGTATTGAACACTGTAACGGATCGACAACGTATTTAATACTTTCCCAGGTGGTAATTGCCTATTCCGGGTATTCATACCGACCACCCAAGTATGGGGACTACATCTTCCCAGCCTGGGCCAATGTAGTCGGTTGGATGATATCACTTGTAGTAGTCCTGCCTTTTCCCATAGTCTTCACCTGGACGGTTGTCACCACTCGTGGGACTTCATTAAAGGAGGTATTTGTAAAGAATAAGCAACAGCCTACAAGAAAATGGGCATGTTATGCCAGACGAAAGTTAATGATCTCCTAAACTTTGTCTAGGGACAGTATTAATTCACGAGGGACAGACTAATTCCTTATTCCAAGTTTCGAGTACATTCTGTCCAATACTCGTTGAAATTTCAGCAGTGTAAACTATGATAAAGTAAGTAATGTCAAAGCTACTGAGAAACGTCTTTGAAGACAACTATGGTTCAAATGGCCTTGAATAATCAATTAGTGAACAATGGATGACGTAAACAATGGATGGTGAACATTCTATCTTTACGGGTAACATAGAATATTTCATGCCTTGTTAATACAAACGTCTTTCGAGAAAATGGCGAATATTTGGCCTTACTCTGGTGAATGGAATTAAAACATCGTTAGAATTTATTGAAATCATACTAGCAAATGTCATAGTTATTTAAAATGTTTGCGTTTTAGAAACTTCAGAAGGCACTGGAACCTACTGAACAGTGGAAAAATGCTCATCGCGAGGACAGCATCCACGAAATGCAGCCAGTGGCGTGAACGTGCAGTGCAGTGCAGTTTTTCAGCGATACATTTCATTGCTAATTTGCATTACACAAAAGATCATGGGAACTACATCTGAAACGGGCTAATGCTGTTCTGAATTTCTTAACATTAATGTCTAGAAGATATTTTTCTGTACGAATGAATGCTTTAAAACCGGAATAATGGTTTAACTTAATGTGTAAACGTAGTGAAAAATGACACTTTTGAAAATACATATCATTTAGCCTTGTTGTTAAATCATATATAAAATGCTCTGGTGCTGTCACATTTTGTTCTCCCCAGATATAATCATAGCCGCAAGACTGAAGTATCTTTCTGACACCAGAGGTCCAGTTATTTTTACCTCTATCATCGTAAAGCATCATCATAACATAACATTTTTGGGGGAATCTGGTTCTGGGCATTTTAAGCAATCTTATCCAATATTTTATTACTTTTATGTAACTAAATATATACAAAGGGTATCTCCCACATTCCCCATAAACTGTAACATTTGGGGTGTTGGAGTGTACTCCTAAAACTCTTTTGCGAGCATATAGATGTACCTTCTCTAATGTGTCATAGATTCCTTGACCCCATACTTCTGCACCATACAGTAGAATAGGACAAATCTTAGTGTCAAAGATTTTGAAAAAGGTGTCAAAGCTAATATTTGGGAGCGGTCTTATGGTTCTTAAAATGCCTATTAAAATCTTGTTAGCCTGTAGTGCGGCTTTGTTGCAGTGCAATGACCAAGTTAGTCGATTTGTAAAAAGTACACCCAAGTATTTGTAACTTCTTACAACCTCCAATATTTCACCTTTATAAAACCTTTTTCCCCGTTTTGCTAATTTCCCTCCATTTTTGAAAACTATGACCTTTGTCCTATCGAAATTGACATTCAGTTTCCATTGTTTACAGTAGTACTCAAGTTGATTTATTAGCTTTTGAAGTCCAGGTACTGTGCTTGCGAACATAACAATATCATCAGCAAAAAGGAGTAGAAAAAGTTTCATAGTTTCTGGATGTAATTGGATGCCCTCGTTACAGTTTTCGTATATTTGTAGCGATAGTTCGTTGATGAAGAACGAAAACAGAAATGGACTTAGTATACATCCTTGTCTTACCCCAATGTTACAGCAGAAGGTATCAGATAGGTTGTTATTGTTTCGAACACAAGCCTTCACCTTGTGGTATATGCAGCATAACAATTTACCAATTTTAGTACTGATACCTTGAGATTTACAAAGGGACCACAGCATGTTTCTGTTAACTGAATCGAACGCTTTAGCAAAATCTACAAATATGGCATACATTTTTTCTCCCTTTCAGGCTAAATATTTCTGCACAAGTGTCAGTGCAAAATAAAGACATTATCAGTTGTAGAGTACATATGCCTGAAATCGGCTTGTGCTTCATCTATCTTATCAAAGGAATCGGCCCAAAATACTAAACGTCTATGTATAATACTGGTAAAAGTCTTACTGAAAACACTCAAAAAAGAGTTATACCCCTATAATTGTTGGTGTCATTAGTTGATCCCTGTTTGTGCAAGGGAATTACAATCCCTAAAGTCCATTTTTCTGGAAAGTATGACTTTTAAAGCATAACGTTAAAAAGGATTTCAAGGTAGGGGAGGAGGATTTCGGATGAATATCTAAAGAATTCAGGAATCAGGTCATCTTCACCGGCAAACTTATTTCTTTTAGAATTTGCAGTTATTTCTGAAATTTCGTTTCTTGTTATAGGTGAATCAAGAATCTCTGAAGTTAACTGACAAAACAATATATTTATTTTCATTTATAGTTAAAATATTTCAGATTTAATTACTAGTTTTAGATTTGTATCTGTGATAATCTAGTTGTTTTACTGTCTTTCGTTGACAGTTTTTTTGTTTTGTTTCTTTTAATAATCACCTTGATATAATCTAGAATCATTACTTGCTTTTAGTCACGATATGGCTGAAATATTGCCGATGTGACTTTAAATCTTAACCCATTCAACACCGCAGGCTGCTTAAGCGGCCACAACGTTATGAGTCCCCAGACACCGGAGGCCGCTTAAGTGGCCAGGCAGTAGTCACGTCAAAATGAGACATAATTTTAGGAACTTACCTGACTTATGATTCATATATTAAATCCATCACATTTCACAATGTCTGAAAACACTTATTAAATTTCAATTGATCATATATTATCGGCAGAATTTAATTATAAACTATTTTTCGCAATGTTATTGAAAACAACGATTCTCGGACACATGCTACGGCAGCGGGTCCACAATAACATTCTCAAAGAGCAAAGTAACGATGTTTCGAGGAAATTATTAAATAAATTGAATGAACTAATAAATAAAATCAACAGCAGCATTCATAAAAGTTGTCAAACGTACATATAAAATTACTATTTCCATCTTTTTGTGCGATCATGTAATGCATGTCAAGTCACTGACAAGTGACATCTCGGCTCTCGCCGCCTCAATCTTCACGCTCGGACACGATGTTTAATGCGAAAATATATGCATGAAGCATTTTTGTAACAGGTCATAACCTAGCACGATACGTCCAATAAGTCCCATAATTTACGGATATGTAGCGATTTCTTGCTAAATATGTTCAGAATAGCATTATTTTACCCAAAACTTTCGTCTAAATCTAAAAGTTTTCGTTTACGAGGCCGGTATCCATTGCCGTAATATGATTGGCTGCCTTAGGTCACGTGTCTGGTTTTGACCAATCACGACCCTTATTGCAGACTGTGGCGAAAAAGCGTCATTGGAAACCAATCTTTATCGAATAAAATCGCTTCTTACAACTGTGTAAAATCGAAGATTAAACGAAACTTACCTGTAAGTTGAAGGTTGATCTAGATTATATGAAACAATCACGAGTAGGAGGGATCAAGTGAGAGAACGAGGCGAGTCCAGGAGTCATTATTTAAAGTGTTTGAAAACCTGTAGAAAAAAGGGTGGGAATGCATCGGGAGGGCACTTGATCCCTCCTACTCGTGATTGTTTCATATAATCTATATCAACCTCAACTTACAGGTAAGTTTCGTTTAATCTTCGATTACATTTCAACCAATCACGTCGTAGATCGTGATCACGTGAGATGTTTAAAGTCACAGGGTTTCAAACAGACAACCCAAAGTTTAAGCATCAACTTTTAATAAGGAGCAATAGAAAAATGTACATGGGTTTCAGCAAACATCCAATCATATCAAAAATCAGTGTCAATGGTGAGACATAATATAAGAACACTCTAACTACATGTATTGTTTAACAGTGATAAAGCAAATGCATGATCTTTGACAGGTTTATTGTAGAACTTCGCAAACGTACTGGAGGTGCTCCAGCCAGCAGTCTGTAAAATAGTTTGCAGAGGCACTGAGTGCCGCGAGGCCGCGCTAGAAGCAGCCATGCGTGTGCTGTGGGGGGTGAAGATGCTCATGT